AATATACGCAGGCCAAATTAAACATTCAGGCACTTTTTTACCATGATTTTTTACCTTTCTACCATAACTATTTACCTTTTGTACTATTCCTACCCAATAAAAAAAAAAAAAAATAATTAAATTGTTGTGCTCGTGCAAAAACATGCGAGCATTTCAACAGTGCTCATCTGATTTCACACGAGCACTGTTGAAATGCGAGCATGTTTTTGCACGAGCATCTTATAATTCAAAAAAAAAATAAAAAAAAAATAAAAAAAAAATTAATCTGCTCGTGTAAAAACACACGAGCGTTTGAAAAGCGTTCGTATGAAATCACACGAGCCCTTTGCAAACGCTCGTGTGTTTTTACACGAGCAATTAAAAAAAAATAATAATAAAAAGGCCTGCTCGTGTGGATTTACACGAGCACAGTGGATGCGCTCGTGTAAATTCACACGAGCAGGCCAAAAGTCCGATTTTTTTCGTTTTTTTTCCGGATTCGTAATCTACATAACAAGAGGATCGTAAAAACATAAAAATTACCTCCAATCTGTTGACGATTTGCACGGGCTTTGCGAAAGAAAATCGAAAGGTTGAGAGAGTTTTTGAGTTTTCTTACTTTCTGTTTTTTGAAGAATGGTAAAAAATGTGTCTGAATGTTTAATTTTGGCCTGTACAAATCATTTCAGTACTAATATAGAGAAATATATGAATAGTTGCAATTGTAACTTGTAAGCAAGTCCAACGCATATATAATCAATTAATTGTGGCTGTAGTGTCAAAGTTTTAGTGCAGATCGTTGTATGATGATCTTTTTAGCGGCGAGAGTAAGAGAGTACTGAACTACTGATAGTGTTTGCTTTTAATGTTTTGACCAGTACAGAACTGCGCACCAACTGTTTGTTGATTTGCCACAACGAAGAACCCATTTGCTATAACATCGCCGGCGGCAGGGTTTCTTTCTTTGATTTTTTTTCTGAAGAAGTAAGCAGAGATGGATCATCTCTCAAATGCCTTTTCATTGCTCGATCTGGACGTTGAAAATGGTAAGGCTGAGAATTCTTATAGAGTGAGAAAAGGGTTGAATTAAAACTTGTCAAGAACTCAAGTATACGGTTGTGAACTTTTTAGCATTTGATTTCTTCGTTATGTATTGAATAATAACATTTGCAGCTGATGAACAAACTTCGGAACCGATTGAAGCAAAATACAAGATGCCGCTGGTGTGGATTGACCTGGAAATGACCGGTTTGATTCGAGCTTTGAACTGCTTTTGTTTTTCTATAACCTGTAATTATTTTCTTTACATAGTTTGTTGGTGGCAGTGAATATATAAAGCTCGGCTTTTTATGTGGAAAGAATCGGTTTTTTTCATGCACGGCATTCTTCTTCTAGTTCGAATTGGGAATTCGAAAATTGATAAATTGAACTAGGGTTTATACATGTCACTTTCTGTTACAATGTCACGAAACTTGGTGCTAGGGTTTACAGATCATATTCCTCGTGTTCGTTGTAAAATAAAGAAGAGAAGATTTTTGTTGAATGTTGCAATATATTCTGCAAGTTATATTATTAAGTATTAGTAGTGATGGAATTGCATTTTATTTTCTTGGTGGCTTTCTCAATTTAAAATATGCTGTATCGTTATAATCCGGATTTGGATTCATGGTATCTATCCTATTTGATCAGTTGGTTTATTTAATATAACTATGAATATTATTTTATGGGTATGTAGGTCTAAATGTTGAAGTTGATAGAATTTTGGAGATTGCTTGTGTGATTACGGATGGAAAGTTAACCAAATCTATTGATGTAAGGTCCTTTCTTTTTCTCTTGAAATTCTCGGTTTTCATTGTTGGTATTTTGAAATTGTGTTGCAAAATATTCCGATTTCGTTTGTGATATATCATTCTTTCACTCTCTTGTTTAAATGTCATAATTCTTTTCTGTAGGGTCCTCATTTGGTTGTCCATCAAACAAAGGAGTGCCTCGATAAAATGGGAGAATGGTGTCAAGAACATCATGCAGCTAGCGGTATGTAGCTTTTCAATATTTAACAGAAAATAAAAATGTCACGTTTTTACAGAAACGAGGATTGACCAAATGTTTTTGCCCCTGGCTCTAATATTTAAAGACAGAAGTACATTTTTATTGAATTTACTTTTGTTCGTGCCAGTCACAAAGTTGTATTTGTACTTAGGTCTAACAGAGAAGGTTCTTCAAAGCACGACAAGTGAACAAGAAGCTGAAAATAAGGTAACGGTTTTCCTTGTTACTTTATAGCTATGGCGTTGAGAAAAAAACATGTGCTTGTTTAGGTTACTTTAAAAGAACGAGTACCCTCATTTTGTTTCTCTTCATTTTTTTGGCATTTGATAGTGTGAGTTGTAAAAGGATTTAAGCATCAATCATCGTTTAAAGAAAATATCACGTGGCGAAACTTTAGAACTGTAACAAGCTCCCAAATTCTTTACTTGCAACAAACACAAAATCCAAGTAGCACTTTCGTGCCTCGTAGGCTAAAAAACATTTCTAACCATCTCATAGAGTTGTTCGTTCATCTAGTGTTTGTTTACTTTTTTTTTTTTTATGTAGGTTTTTGTCTTTTAGATAAATCATATACGAGGAACCATTATCAAGTGTTCTGAGATTGATTAGTTAAATCTTTGGTAAATTACGGCCACCCCTGAGGTAGTCAAATTACGAAAAAACCCATAATGTTTGGGTAATTACAACAACCCTCAACTATGAATCTTCTTACACGTCTCTTCTAGAAAGATTCCGTGGAATGTTCTCTAGTTTGTACTAGTTTTGTGCAAAAAGACAGTTTCTGATCCACCACAATATGATATTTACAAGCTAAGAGACACATCGTACGATCATCTTGTTTCAAAATGTGGAGTTGTAATATGGTAAAACAGGTACAACCTGGAGAATATTCCACGTAATCTAGAAGATTCCACTAAGTCTGACACTGCAAGGGTGTAAGTGTAAAAAGATTCATAGTTGAGGGGTGGTTGTAATTACCCAAACATGAGGCGGTTTTTCGTAATTTGACCTTACCTTGAGGGCTGGCCGTAACTTACCCTAAATCTTTTGTTGAAAACGAACTTCTAATATGCTTTAATGCTTTATTAAACGCATTTCTGTGTTTTATCCTCCGAATTTTATGTAGGTTGTTGAATTTGTGAAGAAAAATGTGGGCACATATACGCCTCTTATAGCTGGGAATTCGATCTACACAGATCTTATATTCTTAAGGGTAAGAAAAGCTTCAAATAAGTATTCACATTTGAGTTTATATCAACAGTGAATGCATTTGAATGGCCAAACTAGGAATTAAATAAAGATTAACAAAGGATAGGAAAACGACTGAGTTCTCGTAGAATGCTTCTATTCTAACATGTTGTTATTGGACTTTTTTCATGGCAGAAATACATGCCAGATTTGGCTGCCCTTTTCTCACACGAAATTGTCGATGTAAGCAGTTTAAAGGCCTTATGTATTCGGTGGTATCCAAGAGGTAAAATTTGCTCCTCTTAAGTTCATGCAAGCAAAAAACAACACCCTATATATAATTTAAAAAATAAAAAAAATAAAATTGAAGAAAATATTAGGGGTGGAAATTGTAACTGTGTCCAAATTCCAATTTTTTATTCCGAATTCTGAAAGTTTCCATTTCCGATTTGTTTTTTCAACGGAATTGGAATACATATTTGATTCCAATTTTCCATCCAGTTTTATTTCCGAAGATATTTCCGAAGAATTTCTGATTATATACCGAAAAGTCCACTTACAATATCAACATTATTATATCTTTCATGTTATAGGTGACTAAGAATTTGGAAATTTCTAATTCCGTCGATTCCGATACAAAAATTTCCGATTTTGGAACAAGTTTTTAAATTCCGATTTTTCCAATTTTTTTGCTGGAACTGAATTGGAATTAGTTTTCACTTCCGAGAAAAAAAAAATGGAATTTTTAGAGGAAATGCCAATTCCGATCCGATTTGTCCGATTTCCCCACCCCTTATTGACCAACTTTGATAAATAGAGCAGGGTTTATTTTGCTTCTAATAATAGAGGCATCATTTTATATGAATTTTTATATATATATTTAAAATATTTATATAAATGCATATTTGTATTATGGTAGATAACAGAAGGGCTCCTCGGAAGGGAAACAAACACAGAGCAGTCGACGACATCCACGAAAGTATAGCCGAACTTAAATACTACAGAGACCACATTTTTAAATCCTTCAACTCTAAGAAATGATACTTTTAATTATATTACAGACTGGTGATTTTGAACCGTAGATTTATATAGCCACCCGCTAAGCACACATACATATGGGTGTGTGTTATTATGTGTAGATCAATGGTTCAAGATCACTCGGTGTATTTCACCAGATGTAGCATCTACGAAACCAAGAAAATGACAACCATGCGTGCATTGAATTTTGTTAATTTTCTTTTTAATATATTTCTTATTGCTGAATATTAGATAGAATGAAATGCTATTTACGGTTACAAAATTGCTATTTGCGGTTTTTCACAAAATTCCCCAAAACTTTTCAAAAAAATCAAAAAACCCCCCAAACTGCAAATAGTAAAAAGAAAAAAAAATCGAAAATTCAAAATCAAGCTTGAAGAAGGGTTGGGCTTCGATTTTTTGATGTAATTTCGACTCTTTTATGTGTAATATGCATTGGGTAGGTCGATTACGGAACTAATTTCATGTTAAAAAGCCCTACAAATCGATTTGTAGGACTTTTTTTTTCGCAAAAAAATGTTCGAACGCCCAAGATGTTCTTTCGCAAAAAAAATGTTCGAACATTTTCGCAAAAAAAATGTTCGAACGCCCAAGTTGGGCGCCCATCTTGGGCGTTCGAACATTTAAAAAAAAAAAAAAAAAATTGCACTGGACGCCCAAATGCAGCTTGCACGCCCAACTTGGGCGTGCACTGCATGAATGGGCGCCCAAGTTGGGCTTTTACGCGTTTTGGGGGGATTTTTGGATTTTTTTGGGAAGTTTTGGGGTTTTAGTGAAATAAAATGTTTTTTTTTTGGGTTTTGTTATAAACCGCAAATAGCAATTTTCAAACCACAAATAGCAATTTCCTAGATAGAGAAGACAAATTTCAGTACAAGGTGAATGGTGTGACTTAGTCTGGATTTGGGCAAGCATATTGTAATTGAAATCCACTTGTCTAACTTGTGATAATTGATTTTGATAGTGAATTTTATTTTTATTTTCAACAAAACATTTGTTGTGGGGGTGTGTGCGGTCGGAGATGGGCGTCGGTTGGGTAAATTTGGATAAAGGGAAATTAAGAAAGTATTGTTATAATTAGAATTGTAATTTTTTTTTCTTTTTTTTATATTAACACACTTTTGGAGGGTGTATGTGAGAAATTTCTAAATTGTAGGAGGCGTAATATAATTTCTAAAAAATAAAAGAGTTTTTTCATAAGTAGACTTTATTTCAGGGGCGGTCGCCGGTCGTATTAATTTACATTAATGAATATTATACTATATTGTACATTTGTACTTCTTCTCTTACTGAAAACTAGTAAGCGTGTGTCAATTTTAGAGGAAAAATATATAGAATGACTAAAATATCCATGTTGTTAATATTGTTTCGATTAATTATGTCTCAATTAATGAATAGTAATTATGGCAAAATTGAGAAAATAGTAATTAATGCATCATTAAAATTTGAAAGTGACGTATAATTTGGAACATGAAAAATTCTCAAAAAACGACAGTTAATTTGAAACGGATATAACTACTAATAATGCCAAAGACTAAAAACATTGGAGTCGTTGCTTTTAGAGAAGATTTTTTTGCATGGATCAAGTTTAACGAATCAATTCATCCATTATTATTTAATTAAAAATTGTGACATGCGTTATATATATATATATATATATATATATATATATATATATATAACAAAAAAATGGAAAAAAATAATAATTCAAAATTGAGTGGTTGGGGCCAAATTAATTCATCCGTGATGGTTATTTTGGAACTTCGAATGAATTTTTTCCTGTGTTGATTTTGCAACTTCGAATGTGTATTCGGGATTGCGAACTTATATAGCAGCGTTTTTTTATTATTTGTTGAAATCATCTTCCCCAAATTATTTTTGATATTTTGTACTTTCATGCTCATTTAAATTGCAAAACAAGTTCGTTCGTGATGCTTTATTTGGGATTTCGACTCCGTTTATTCCCTGAATTGATTTTGCAACTTCAAATTTGTTTATGCGCATGAATATTCAGTTGTTTTATGTATTATTTAATTTAAAAAAAAAAAGACATAAAGCAGATATGTATACATGAACTTATGATATGAGATTCCTAACTTTTGCCGACCTGATTTCGAGTGTTTTTCTTGGGAGTATCGTCTCTTCACTAGCAATTTAAGCGACAATGCCAGTGAATATGTGATCCTCTTCTACCAAAGGCATTGTAGAGCTTTTATAAATAGAAACAACTTCAGTTAAACTTTATCCCAAGAGTCATCTCCTTCACATGTAGTGATTATTGTTGTGAAAATTTATAAATGTTATGTGAAATTTTTACAATCTTTTATGTAATTGTAATGAAAATATAAATATTTTTTTACGTAGTCGCAGTGAATGCCAGCTCATGACCTGCATAGCTATTTGAGGTTGTTGAGGGACCATGGATTCAGAACATGAGATTGTGATAAGTTGTTCTTCCACATGACTAGAGCATTTGTTTTTTTCTTGCTGAAGCTGATTGATGCCTTCAAAGGAACAAGAAAGTTAGCAGGAACATATGAATAAATAAAGGTGAAGCTATATGGGATGTGTTCGTGCTAGCTTTGGTCAACGGTACTGCAATATGTATAAATATATATATAATTTGTCTAAATATTTCCTAAAAATAAAACCAGTGTATGAGTGTGACATTTTCTATACTGCCGATAGAGAAAATAAACGCACCAATGAGGAAGAATTCCCATGGTAGTAATGGAATAAATTACTTTCCAGAAAAATTGGTCTAAATGTTTATAATTTGTGTATTTCTTATTTATTAAAGTCTATGTTTTTATACTTCTAACCATTGCGTTCCTTTTTTTTTTTAATCACAATAGCATGTACTTGGAATTAAGAAGTTGTAGATGATTTAATAATTGTAACAGATTTTCTCTTAGACTTGCACAATTCTTCGTATCACAAAAGATCTTATCCGAAATATGTTATGCGTACGAATTTAGAGCAGTTGACTTCTCATGGTGTATTATTGAAAGTGGTGTTGTGTTTAAATTTCAACAATTTTGGATGAACATTTTAAAGAGAAAATATTTTTATGAGTTGTATTTCAATTTCTATTATTTTTTTTGAACAGTTCAAGAGAAAATATTTCTCCAAGTTGTGTTTAAATTTCAATGTTTTTTAATGAGCAGTTTAAGGGAAAATATTTTTTCGAGTTAAGACAATGACTATGTCTCATTCTTTACTTAATGAACTGAGCAGTGTGTTCAAAATTCATTATTTAAAACATATTTTGTATTTTAATGGATAAATAGGGCAATGAACGATTCTTCTTGGTTGTAGGCGGAAACGAACAATTGTTGGTCATATTCAATCAATGACCGTAGCTTGAGGAACCTCTTATTTCTATAAATCTACTTCTATGTTAATTATTAATGGAAGAATATAAATTTTGCCAAAATTAAATTGTGAGACAGTCTTTCTTTGATTCTTCTCAGATCTACTACACTGTTTTGTACAATGTGTCACAACTTCTCCAAATATGAATCTTGACTCTTGAGGATTCTGAAACAACGAAGATTTGACAAGTGACGATATGTTGGACTTCGACAAGCTGTGGAACCTTAGGTTTGATTGTTCAATCGTGTGGCGTTATTTATTCTCAATTATTTAATTTCAATTGTTTTGTAATGGTACCCCGTGCAACGCACGGGTATAGTTACTAGTTTGAATTAAACGGTAATATTAATTTAATGAGAGATTAGTTAGCATAAACAGCGGGGCATGCGTCAATTACAACAGCGTGGTCCATTTCGTGTTCAAACCGTGTCATATAATAATACTCCCTACTTTTAGGTTTTGTTTGTTTTGATTTTATATTTAGGGCTCAACATGGTAATTTAATATTAAATATTTTTCAAATCCTTCCAATAATTGATTTTTTTATTTTATTTTATTTTTTATTATTTTAGTATTTGTGTAGATTTAGTATTGGCATAGTGAACTTTATAACATGCATAGAATCAAAAGAGCTAAGATTTCAACAAATATAAATGATGTTATATTTATTATAATAATCATAATTATTATTATTATTTGAGAGATTTGATAGTTGAGATTAGGGTTGAAAATCAAGTTAAACTACTGAATTTTGAATCGTTCGTTAAGCACTCACTCTGTTAACACTACGAACCAAAACTTAAAGTTATATTTCTGTTTTGTAAACTCTCATACTCAGCTCATACTCGAGTTTGGTTTGAAGAAAATAATAAATTATGGAAAAATAAAAATATATATAAGTCGCCAACAACTCGATTTGTGTTCGATTTAGTTAAAGTATGATATATTTATCAAATTCAAATTCAAACAAATTTGACCGCCCGTTGACTCCCATTTTAGATGTGATATAATTTGTTACAACATTTTGAAATTCATGAGCAATTTAAAGCAAATTAGGTGTTATTTTAATTGCACTTAAACAAATTAAATCCCCACAAATGGAGTAATAAATAACTTAAATTCCCCAAAATACTAAAAAAGTAAAATAAAATAAAGAAACTTAAACTAGTGTATAAATAATTAAATATAACCTTTCAATTCCCTTTCCAATTTCTTTATGCCAAACACACCCTCAATAAGCAATTTAAAGCTAATTAGGTGTTATTTTATTGCACTTAAACAAATTAAATCCCCACAAATAATTTAAATTGCCCAAATATTGGAAAAAATAGAATAGAATAAAACAAAGAAACTAAACTAGTATAAATAAATAAAACCTTTCATTTGCCTTTCTAATATCTTGTGCCAAACACACCCTTAAATTAATGGCTGTATCTGTATGTAGAAAAATATCCAAACTGCTGCATTTATAAGAACATCCGAACAAAAGCTACATTAATTCGACGCTCCAATCTCGCAATTATTCACTCACACTCGCTCATAGATTTTTGGGATTTTATCATTTAAAACTAAATTCCCCGCTTTTGCTTTTTGCCCCCTGTATTATCTACCATCGCCATTGCTGTTTCTGGCTACTAATTATCAGAATTACGCGTTTTTTTTTGTTATAAAAATCGTTTCTTTTTATTGTTCTTCACTTTTTATCTGCCTTTTCGTAGAGGAATAATCTGAAGTGGGGTTTTGATAATTTTCTTGGGGAATTGAAAAAAGGGAATTGAAGGAAAATGAGTGGGGGTGGGGAAGGGGAGGGGACGTCGTTGGAATTCACTCCGACGTGGGTTGTCGCCGCCGTCTGTTGCGTCATCGTCGCCATCTCTCTCGCTGCCGAACGAGGCATTCATTTCACCGGAAAGGTCTCTCTCTCTCTCTCTCTCTCTCTCTCTCTCTCTCTCTCTCTCTCTCTCTATATCTCTATCTCTGATTTCTCACACACGAACACACACGTGTAGAAAGTTGCTTCTGCAAAGGTTTGAGTTGATGACATAAAATTTAAGACACTGAAAAAAAGACCCTAGGATATCGATTTTGAATTTTCCTAGAACCTCAATTTTTCCAAAAAAAAAAAACAAAGTGTGTCTTGGTTTTTTTTTTTTTTTTTGAAATCTGGGTCCATGCTAAAAAAAAACTACAACCACTGTTTGCCAAAAAAATGTGCAGTATTTGAAGAAGAAGAACCAAAAGCCTCTCTTTGAAGCTATACAGAAAGTTAAAGAAGGTTCCATTCATCTATATATGTATATATATATATATATATATATATATATATATATATATATATATATATATATATATATATATATATATATATATATGTATGTATGTATGGATTTGTACAAGAAGAGAATTTTTTATGTTTGATCTGATGGAAAATTATGGGGTTTGACACAGAGTTGATGCTGTTGGGGTTTATATCACTTATGCTGACTGTATTTCAAGGCCGTATAGTCAAGATTTGTGTGCCTGCTAGTACGATGGAGCACCTTCTTCCGTGCTCGTTGTCTGCGGAATCTTCTGGTGGCGAAGAATCTCACGCCGCCCCTGAAGGGAGCGGCCACCGCCGCTTGCTAGCTGAAGAACTCGCCGGAGGTTACTGTGCTGCAAAGGTAATTCTTTTTTGTTTCCGTTCGTTTCTGTTTGAAATGGGAATTTATCGAATTGTTTATTACTCTTGGAAGCATGTATATATGTATGGTCATAGTTCGTGTTCGTTTCTGAATTTTGAAAATCTGTTTGTGCTTAATTGTATAAATAAATCAGATTTACGTTTTTTTTTATTTTCTCATTTTCGGTTTTGGTACGAGACTGTTTGATGGAGACTTTGGGAATCTTGGATTGTTACCGAACATTGTATTATGTTGGCTGTTGATTAATGCTTTATGTGGAATGAATAGTTCGTTAACTGTTTTTACAAATTAAATTCTACTAAATCTTGATGGTGTATGTATCGATAACGGTGGAGCACAATATGTTGAAGAACGTTGGAATAAGAAATGAAAATTGCAAATAGTCAACTTACTTGAAAAATACTCTTACCTCTACTACTGTTATTTATCACATGTTTATGTATTTGTCTAATTTTGTTTCGACGTTTTTGGTGCAGCATAAAGTCCCGATGCTATCGCTCGAAGCACTGCATCATCTACACATCTTTATCTTTGTTCTAGCAATTGTGCATGTGACTTTTTCCGTTCTCACTGTTGTATTTGGAGGCGCAAAGGTACGTACAATTTTATTTATTTTTATTTTTTGTTTATCTATATATGCAAATTAATCGTTTCTGTAAAGCTTTATTTAATTTCGAAAATTTATGCATAGATACGTCAATGGAAGAATTGGGAAGACGCCATTGCAAACGAAACTTACGATGCAGAACAAGGTAATATATTCACCTCGTTTCCAAAAATCGAGGAATGGATTAAATAAATCTATCTATATATTACTATTTAACAAATGGAATGAACTAAATCTAAGGAACAAGATTCTTAGTTGATCATTATTAAATTATTAATAATCATTATTAAAATGTGCAGCTCTGAAAACCAAGGTCACCCATGTTCATAATCACGATTTCATCAAGACTCGATTTTTGGGCTTGGGTAAACAATCTGCCATAATGGGTTGGCTGGTAAGTTGAAGTTTTAGCGTCGAGAGATCTCGTTTTTTCGTACGACTGTTGAATGTTAACTTTTTTTTTTTTTTTGATATATGTATAATTTTCAGCATTCATTTTCTAAGCAATTCTATGGATCTGTTACCAAATCGGATTACGCAGCTCTTCGACTAGGCTTTATTATGGTACGCGACGCACGTGTTTTCTCTCGTTTTTCCTTTAACTACAACTTGTTTTGCTATTTTTATATATATATATATATATATATATATATATATATATATTTATTTTGTGATGTACGTATAATATGAAGTTTGTCTTTTCACACAGACACATTGCAGAGGAAACCCGAAATTTAATTTCCACAAGTACATGATACGTGCTCTTGAAGCTGACTTCAAGAAAGTTGTCGGCATAAGGTAATTAATTGTTGAAATAATTAATTAATAATATTATTTTGAACTACAAACTTTTCGGCCATTAATTTTGATTGATTATAATATCTGCTTTTTTTATTTATTGCAGTTGGTATTTGTGGGTTTTTGTCGTCCTCTTCTTGTTGTTGAACATTAATGGTACGTCAGTCTAATTACCTCTTCGTTTTGCACTATATGCAATTTTTATCGCTACATTTTAGCGAGCTTTCTTTTCTATTGAATCGAACAATAATTTTTCTCTAGGTACGATGTTATCTGTTAATGCAATACAATTATTATTATTTTTTTCCGTTTTTTGCAGGCTGGCATACGTACTTCTGGATCGCATTTTTCCCTTTCGTTGTGAGTATCACTATTATTTTGCATATTTTTATAAGCGTAAGTTTTTATTTATTGTGTTACGATGATTCATTATTATTATTATTTTTTGCAGCTTCTGCTTGCTGTCGGGGCAAAGCTGGAGCATATAATAAGCCAGCTAGCGCATGAGGTAGCTGAGAAGCACATAGCAATTGAAGGCGAATTAGTGGTGCAGCCTTCGGACGACCACTTTTGGTTCCGTAGGCCCCGCATTGTCCTTATCTTGATTCATTTTATCCTCTTCCAAAATGCCTTCGAAATCGCCTTCTTCTTTTGGATATGGGTAAGTTGGTAATTTTCACCACTTTTAGCCTTAAAAAAAGTTTTTAAAACCGAACCGTATGTAATATTATATTGTCATTCCTCGTAGGTTCAATATGGCTTCAACTCGTGCATAATGGGAAAAGTCCGATATATCGTCCCGAGACTAATCATAGGGTGAATACTAATTTACTTGCACCTTTCGTCGTCCGTTTTTTGAAGTGTGTGCTAACTCCGCTTTTTCGTTGTTGATTTCAGTGTATTTATTCAGGTACTCTGCAGCTACAGTACTTTACCGCTGTACGCTCTCGTCACACAGGTAAAACCTTGCTAACCATTTTCTTCAATACGATTAAAAAAATAGTAACAAATTATTGACGAAACCCTTTTTTTTTCCGTAATTTTGCTGGTTATAATTATAAAGATGGGAACCCATTTCAAGAAATCGATATTTGAGGAGCACGTTCAAGTTGGGTTAGTCGGTTGGGCACAGAAGGTGAAGAAGAAGCAAGGCTTGAAAGCTGCTCTCGGTGGGTCCACCCAAGCAGGGTCCACCCAAGGGGGGTCTACCCAAGCGGGGTCCACCGGGGGTTCGTCTTTAGGAATTCAAATGGCCGGCATTGCACGTAGGGAAACTAAGCCACAGTCCGAGGTTCAACCAGCCAATGGTTCCTAGGAGTTTCTTTTTGACCATTTTATTTATAGGAAGTGAATTTAAGCTAAATTAGTCGAACGAATGAAAGCTCATTGAGTCGAGCAAATTTGCTTCGGATTTTCTTGAACTGAACTGAAGCATGTGCTAATTAATGTATGACCAGAGCAAAGGATGTGTGTTATTATTATGTTTATAATAATCTTGAATCTTGATTATAAACGCTAAATAACCACCCACCAATCACACATACACACATGCGTGTGTGCGATTATGTGTAGATCTACGGTTAACAAGCACCTGGTGTAAATAATCAGGTGCAACATCGAAATTTCCCGAAAGTGTATTTTCCACGTAACATAGTGTCTGCAACGACGACCAAATTGATATCTTATCTTCAACGGTTATCAACTTCTTCCAAGAATTATTGTCTATGACGTTCCCCCTTGTCCAAAATCTGAACCGTGTTCTCGTATGAGCCATATAAATCGGAATACATGCACAATCGCTATAATCCTTTGCGTTTTCTGGCTTCTGCAGAATCTTGAACTTGTCATCTCTCGGAGCATAATACATTATCTGCTTAGCGCCCTCGAAACGTCAAACCCAACTGCTTGCCCCGTCAACACAGACTCCTTTCCGATTTCTGTTCATCGGACCTAAACCAGTATGTTCAATTTTGTATCCTTTTTTTGGTTTGTTCTTACAAGAATAAAACCCGAGTAGTAGCACCAATCCGCAACAACACAACAACCTTAAAATCGTCGCTGTTTGGATCACGACAAAGCTGCATTACTGCAACAACAGTGTGTTCAATCTCAAAACAACTTTCGTTTTGTATTAGTTCTTAAAAATATTAAGAAAACGAATAAATATAAAATATTTTAAGAAAATACAGAATGTTGCTAATCAATGTATCATTAGAATTTTAAAGTGTTACAATTCAAGTTTTCAAAATGGATAATCAATCGGAAACATATAGATCACATGATAGGCGAAAATTACAGTTTTCATCCCTAAACTTTGCACTGATTTCACATTTGGTCTCACATGTTCACAAAAAACACATTTGGTCCCTCATGTTCTAATAACTTAACACCTTTCGTCATTTTCGTCAATTTACCGTTAGTCCGTTAGTTAAGGAAATGATGGCACACGCTTGATTCCGTTAGTTTTTACGGAAAATTGGCGGAAGGGACTAAACATGTTGAATTTTTGAAACATAAGGAATCAAATGTGTTGTTTGTGAACCCTATGGCCAAATGTGAAATTAGTGCAAACTTGAGGGATGAAAACTATATTTTTCCTCAAATGAAATATTACATACATTTAAACCTGGAACTAATAATTTAGTAGGTTTTTATCGAATCGAAACCGGAAGAAACTATTATTTAAGTGATGTTATTAATTTATCGAGATTCTATTGTATTAAAATTTAAAACTCGTCAAACCCGAGCCATTTTCAGTGTGCTCATTTTTAAGACGGGTCGGGTCAAACCGAGGGTGTGCGGGCGGGTCGGTTAGGGGTTTTTGTAATTTAGGGGAAAAGGGTTTTTCTGGGTAGAGTTTCCATATATAATAGCCGCTCCCCATTTCTCTCTCTCCTCTCTCTTTCTCTCTCTAGAAGAAGAATCTAATTGTTCACTCTTCTTCTTCTTCTTCTTAATTTTTATTTAATTTAGGTTTAGAAAAACAAAATTCAGTGTGATTCAGATAACGAAGAGAAAATAGTCGGCTATGGCAACCCTTATTCCTCCCTCACCCGCGACGGCGACGACTCATCCAGCTGCCGGTCCAACAAATCCGACCGCCACCGAGCAGCCGAAAGTGGATTACTTAAATCTCCCTTGCCCCATTCCGTATGAAGAAATTCACCGCGAAGCTCTTAGTTAGTACTCTTCCTTTTTCTTTTTGGCGGTGGTGGTGGTTGTTGTTTTGTATTGTGGCTGCTTCTGCATTGTGATGCGAACACTTCATTTTTGTTCTGTGATAAATCCTGCTTAAAAAAAATGAGATATTCAGTTGGTGCATTTCGGTTCTATTGGACTCCGTAATCGGAGATCAAAAGTCCGCATTTGCGGGAGCACGAGATTGAATACTGTGAATCGTATTTGTTTTTGTTATTTGCTGCGTTGTTAGGTATCGTTTAGTGATTTCATTACCTGTGGAAACCAAAATTGCTTGTTTGAGTGATGTTAAGTAAAATGTAGAGTTTTTTGGATGTTTTTGCGAGTAGCGTATAAAAAAGTTTAGGTGCAATTGCAGTATCTGGGAGATAGCACCAAATTCGGTCGCTAATTATTTCATCTATGCAAAGGATGCATTTCACCCGATTCACCCGCTATTTGAATTTTAGTTATGGTTATAAAAGGAAATTAGGTACCGATCCAGAAAGTTTTTGTAGGATTAATTTTTGCTAGTTTGTTATTGCTCAAAGTTCATGAGATATTTCAGTTGTAACTTACTCTAATTACAGTACTAATTTTAATGGTTATTGTTGGCAGTGTCCTTGAAGCCAGAGCTCTTTGAGGGATTGCGCTTTGATTTTACGAAAGGGCTCAATCAAAAGTTTTCTCTGAGCCATAGGTGCCTTTATAATTCCTTTTAATAGATTACTTTAATCTTGTATTTTCATTTTCCATCTTTTTATCCCGTGTTTCTTTTAAATCCAGATTGAGATGTTTGACCACTAAATTGATTTATGTTCTAATTTTCATCAGCGTTATGATGGGACCTACTGAAGTTCCTTCTCAGTCAACCGAAACGATTAAAATTCCCACCGCTAACTATGAATTTGGCGCTAACTTTATAGACCCAAAGGTGTGCTGCCATTTACCTATCAATTTGTGATTGAAGCACGATTACTTGATTTAACCATTGGAGCTTTACTTTCTCTGGCAGTTGATGCTTTTCGGGAGGGTAATGACAGATGGGAGATTAAATGCAAGACTGAAGTGTGATTTGACTGAGAATCTTACTCTCAAGGGCAATGCTCAAGTATGTATACTATGTCTATCCACCTGCCGCAGAAGTTTTAGAACTGGCAACTATCCTAGAGCTGTTATCATATTTCTCCGTTCATCCGTTTAAGTAAATTAACAGACTTTCTTTCTTCTTTGTAGCTTACGAATGAGCCACATATGTCACATGGCATGTTCAATTTCGATTATAAGGTAATTTTATATAAATGTATGCAGGTAGCTTTAAAGTGCATCTATTCGGCGTCTGTTTAAAATGAATGTTGGTTTTCTAGATGCATGTTTTGAACTACTGAATTAAAATATTGGTTTGCCTAGATCAAATGAATCTACTTCAAAACATTGATGACAATTTCAAGTTGGATTGATGTAAAATGTGGCTAATAGCATGTGCTTTACAAATATTTACAGGGATCAGACTATAGAACTCAGTTTCAACTGGGGAATGGAGCCTTATTTGGTGCAAGTTACATCCAGGTGAATTGCTTGATATTTGATTTAAAAATATATGTTTTAAAGAATTGGCGTTACTATGTAAACTGGAAATCATTTGTATGAAACAATTTCCAATTTTGGACATCTATGAGAAATATTTTGTCGCTTGTCGGCATTGGTATGCAATTCTAATGATACATAACTCTTGACGATTAGGTGAATCATGGTTCTACAATTATTGCCTTTTATTGTCTACTTCAGGTCTATTACTTGGATAGCATTATTATATTAGTAATAATTGAATCCAAATGTAGAATTTTGGGAAGAAGTAGCAGTGCCCTGGTTTTTTTTGGTTAATATTTACTCTAATTTTAACTCGCGAAGATAGCTATTTTGCTCTACTAATTGATAAATAGATGAAGAGAGTGTACGATTGAACTCCAATTCATTACCTTTTTACCTTTAAACAATGACACTAAATATAGAATATACATGTGTTGTTAAGAGGGTTCTCTGCTACAAATGCTATTGTCTCTAGCAACAAACTTGGAAGGACTACTGATTCAGCTCGTTTTATGCTGTTCAAACCATGCAGTTCAATATTTTTTTGTTTCGTACTATCTATTACCCTGTAATGAGGGAAAAACAGCAAAAAATCTAGGAATAAGTAGTACCTCCATAAGTTAGGATTGAATTTTTCTATATCTCAAGACATATAGTTCTACAAAAAAACAAAAGAAAGGAGAATGTTTCACCAATCCTATAGCGATGGAACAAATATTGATGCTTGAACAAGTCATCAATATTTTTAGAGGTCATGCTTGTGTGAAACATTTTTCTTCACGGTACGCCTGTCACTGTTTGCTGGTTTCCTTTTTATTTTTGGAACTGTGAACCATGTTAATGTCATTACCTAGAAGAAACCTTATTTTTTAAATAAGCAAATTGAAACGAGACAATGAGGACCCAATTGATTATGCAAGGCGAGAGAAGAAATGTTTTGCTTTAGATAGTACCAAGTCATAGTAGTTCAATCTTTTTGAATGAGAGAATCAAAGGAGAATATCATATTGGGGACATCGACCATATAAGTTGCCTCTCTTGCCATTCAGTCCAAAAAGCATTGACTATGAAAATATATATTCTTGTAAACAATAGAATTGGAACATCACAAGATATTACTTTGACCAAGTTTGTTTGGTTCATTTTGAAAAGTCAGACAAAAGGTTGATCTGGTACAGTTTCATCTTTATTTTTTAGTTTTTAAAACTTAAATCAGATATCAACATGTTTCTGTTTCAGTTCAGTCATACAAAATAACTTCTGGAAAGGCCAATAAAGGTTTAGATATTCTGTGTTTTACTGTTTGATGATTAGTCTTTGAAGGTCAAATCTGTCATTCACGATACAAAGGATGTAATATGCTTCCCACCAACAAATATCTCTGTTTCTGGTAGTTAGATGTGATGGTGATTATTTGAGATAGAGCAAATCCAAAGATGGCTTGCACTTTGCAGTTATACAGTTATACTAATGATTTTCATGTGTACCTTTGCAGAGTGTGAGTCCTCATTTATCCTTGGGTGGTGAAGTATTCTGGGCTGGTCAACACAGGAAATCTGGCATTGGTTATGCTGCGCGTTACAACACTGACAAGATGGTACTATTACTTCTGATTTTTTTGCTTGATTTAAGTTTAGTATTTCAAACCCAATTGCAATTTAATGCAACTGTGTCTTTGAGTTGATCGTAACAAGGGATGTTAGTTTCTATATTTCTATTTAATCGCAAACTTACATTTGTCTTTCAGTTTTGCATTTAAAAGCCATATAAGATACCTGGTTGTGGATTTTAATTGAATTAAATCCTGGTGAATATTCGTCCACTACATTAAGATTATGTGTACATAGAACGCAGGTAAAATAAAATAGTGAACAGGACATTAATATTGTGGTTTGCATATTGATAAACTTGAGTTCATCAGTGGAAAAAAGCCTGTGTGTGGCTGAGCTCATCAAATTGAGAAGTAGTCTGTATATCACTGGGCAATATGCTTCCCTTTATTGTGCTGTGAAGGGATGCGACTATATTCGAATGTATTAACTGTTCCTGACTAGGCATGTTTCTTCGTTTTCCTTTTGGATTCTGGATAAATTTTAACTGTATACTTCACTTATTTGATTAAATGTAGTTTACTGGACAAAGGTATACCTGGGGTAAAAAAATATATGGCAAGGGGCTTTGCTGCAAGTGATAATGGTAGATATACCTCAGTTAGGTGATTTAAAAAAGTTGATAAAGATCAAATAAAGGAAGATATTTATATGAATATAAATCTTGAGATTATTTATATGCTTTTGAACGGTCAATACAAACCAAGTAACAACTGTTTTCTTCTCTTTCTTTCTCTATTGTTGATATGTTTTAGTGGAGTGAAGTTGTTCTTCTCCATATTTTAACATGCAGATTCAATAATTTAAGTTACAAGCATTCGTTGAGTCAATTCCAAATATATAAGTACTGGTTACTGCTCCTCATGCAGGTCACAACCGGACAAGTTGCTAGTACTGGTATGGTTGCTCTAAGCTATGTTCAGAAAGTATCTGAAAAGGTGAACTAGTTTCTAGTACATGACAAGTGCTTTAATTTTTTACATCTAAAATTTTTATGTTTCTTTATTGCTCGTTCTGTCAGAACTAACTTGTTCTTACCATGTAGGTTTCTTTAGCATCAGACTTCATGTACAACTATATGTCTCGGGATGTTACTGCCAGCTTCGGATATGATTACATCCTCCGGCAGGTAAATTTCTGTTACTACTGCTTGGTTTCTCGAGTTTGGTACCATGTTTTGTGATGGTCTAGTTAGAATTATAGTTGTTCAGAAGTTAGATTTACTCTATAGAAGGGCCTGTTAAACTTGATAATGTTGTGCACATGTCGAGTTTATCTGTATAATTAACCACACACGGCGCATCGTTTTTGGAGAACTGCTGATGTATTAACAGTGGTTAAATCTTACTAATGCCGTGTGATGAGTATGTATCTTACTTCTGATAGGCTACTTCTCTTCAGTTGATATAATTTACATGTTAGATGCTTATTTTGTGTTAGGTAGTAAATAAAGTGTCGATTCTATCTTAAGAGTGTAATCCAACTTACGATAGAGCCAAACTGGAAACTGAAATCTCTATTTCAACTTAGGTAGTCTAAGCATCTGAGGACGAGTAAAACCTTTCATCCCGTAGAATAGGTTCTGTACAATAGCTCAGAACGGAATTTCAACTGCTTTATTGCCTTAGGATAGCAGCACCTAACTACACATACTGCTGATTTAGCCTCCATGTCAGTAAGAGGCCAAAATCGAAATTTGGACTGTCCAATTAATTTTAGAAATTGTTTCCCTCATCTAGTTGTGTTTTGGCATCTTTTCTGTTAATAGAATTATGAATTTGAGATTCACACAGTTGGAGGTCCACTATATTGGTGTATGGAATTTCAAGAATCGATTCTTTATTTTTTTCTTCTTCTTGAAATGTGACTTCCCAATATCTATACATCTAATTGTACTTATTTGTCCTGATGGCAGTGTCGTTTAAGAGGCAAGATTGATTCTAACGGTGTCGTTGCTGCTTTCTTGGAAGAGCGGTTTAATATGGGTCTTAACTTTCTTCTCTCTGCTGAGGTGAGGAGGATTCCTCGTATTTTCTAATACAGTAGAACCTCGATAAATTAGTAACATCGCTTAAATAATAATTTCTTACGGTCCCTACTCAGTAAAAACGTACTAAATTATTAGCTCGATAATTTAATATTTCGTTAAATTAATAGAATTTTGTCGGTCCCAACTCTATTAATTTATAGAGGTTTACCTGTAGCAGGTTCTCCTTTTCTTTTCTTTTCTTTTCTTTTTTTCTTTTTTTTTTCCTCTCAAATTTATTTATTTGGTCTTGCAGATAGATCATAAGAAGAAAGACTACAAGTTCGGGTTCGGATTGACAGTGGGAGAATAGAATAGAAACGAAACACGAAAGGCATATTCACTCTGTTTCAATTTAAGATGTTTGTTGCAAGTATGAGAGGATGGATGGGGAGATTTTTCTCCAGATAAGAATCAAAGAATCGATTTTGTTTTTTTTCTCTGAGTTGAATTATCATTTACTCGTTGCAACAGAATCACTTGTAGTTGATTTTGCAGGTTGGAGATAATATTATTATTGATTCCCCAAAGATACTTTTTATTGTTATGCATACTTGGTGAAATAGTGATACACTTAATTGTGTGCTTGCACTAATAATATCTTACAATTTTTTTTTTTAAATATTTTGCTGCATGTGCTAATATGTAATAATATATTTTTTCTTTTCTACTATTGCCTATTTGCAAATTACCCAAAGTAGCCCTAGTATTTAACTTTGTTGGTGTTGTCTTATGAAATAACAAGGTCAAGTACATTCATTTTCCTTGTAAGTGTTGGAATTTTGACATGTTTGCTTATTATTTCTAGGACAAATTACGGCCACACTCTGATGAAGGTTAAATTACAAAAAAACCCTTGATGTTTAAATAATTGCGACTATTTCTCTAACTATGTATTTTCTTATGAAAAAATCGTAGGTAAATTGTGAATTTGACATACATCGATATGTAAAAGAATTGGTAACCATATCTGCTTTCATATTATTACAATTTGCTATTTTAACACTTGTGACAAAAAATAATGAAATTAAAATAAAATAAAATTGAATTGTAATGGAACAAAGACAGGATGGATGCTTGAGCACTAGTTGACAAATTGTTTAGTACTGTGTTTGGATCGTGTGGAATCATACTTTAAGTTCAGTGAATGGATATGTTCCAAGTGGATGATGACTCATTGCACAAACAAAATAAATAATAATATATTTATTTTATTGGTCCCCACAACCTCAAATCTCGTACCCTTATCCGAAGTTGTTCCCTCCACCTTAAAAAATACCACACTTATAAATGAACCTTATCTATTTCATTATGGATGATTGATGTAATATTAAATACTTCAATTTAAGGTGATATGATAATCAACATGTATATATTCCTTTGTTACAAGAAAAAAAAAGTTTTGATTATAAAAAATAATTTGAACATCTCAATTTATTTTGTATTATAGATGAATAAATAAAAGAATTTTCCGTTGCGGTCGTATCCGATTTGAAAACTTCCAATTTCAGCACAAGTCTTTTAATTTCGATTTCGGAATGGTTTTTTCCTAACAAAATTGGAATTATTTTTTTAATTCCTTAAAAAGAATTATTCCGAAAGTACTAATTCGATCCGATTCACATCTAATTAGTTCTAACATAACATTTCGTAATTACCATATAATATTGACATACCATTTATCAAAAGATTCTTTATATTCAGAAACTCGTGTGATAGTTTACCATACATTGAAATGTATTATATGTGACCCCGCAGGGATGATCTAACAGTTGAAACAAGTTAACTTATGTCAATTGAACTAAGTTTGGACAATCTAGTCAACGGTCGCTAAGTTGAATTTGTTGCATATTGTTAGTCTAGTGTAATTTACGTCTCTTATATAATTTACATGCTATTATATATCGAGAGTATATTATTGAATCTTATGATAAATCAAGAAATCATATATCACCATATTTATTTGCCTTTAATTTTTCAGATTGTATAAGAAAAAGAATCTTAAAAATAGAAGAATATTGCAAAAAAAACAAAAGTATACACACATGGACGGACAGTTGTAGGGTCAGGATCATTTTGCAAGAACTAAAGATGGTGGCTTTCATCTTTTTTATTGAACCTAAATATATATATGTATGATGTATCTATATATTGTTTTTGTGTGTATAAAGTAGTGTAAACCGGAAGCTGGTGTTAATTGTATCCAAAAGGGTTCAAGTTTCTTGTGACTTTTGCTTCCACCTAATTCTTACTTCAGGTAACCCCTAAACTTGATCTCTTCTTTAAACAAACTCTTGTATGTGTGTTTGTGTGTATTTTTGTGTGTTTTTGTGTGTGTGTCTGTGTTTGTGGAAGAGGGGAATGGTTATATTTTTTTTTGGTAGAATTCTTCATTCTTGTGTGTGTGTGTGTTTTTTCAAGAAAATCATGCTTTGATAGTTTGGAGAAGGATTTAAATAAAATTGGATGATAATTAGAAAATATGGTTGAGTTATTGAATCTTGTTAGTTTTTTATTGGTTTGTCCCTTCTTGTTTTACTTTTAGGCACAAAACAAAAGATGCAAGGAGGGGTTCAAGCAATCTTCTCACATGGGAATGTGTTCAAGAATGCTGTCCTTCGCCACATCCGTGTGGGCCCCACAGCCGTTGGATCTCTAATGTTCGCACGCCGGGAGTCCACGTCGGCAGCTAGGATCGAAGAGCACGGTTTCGAGAGCACCACTATTTCCGATGTTCTCACAGCCAAAGGCAAGAAACAAGACGGCTCGTGGCTTTGGTGCACCACTGACGACTCTGTTTACGATGCCGTGAAATCGGTATATAAATTATACACATCTTTAGTGTTTAATTTTGCTTGTAAATTTTTTCAACCTTAATTAGCAAATACGAAACCGAGTTTTCCACTTGCAGATGACTCAGCACAATGTCGGAGCTCTTGTGGTCGTTAAACCAGGGGAGCATAAGTCCGTCGCGGGAATTATCACAGAAAGAGGTATACTTTTTTCTTCTTCTTTTCAGGCCATGTTGCATACAATAGATGATAATCAAGAATTGGAATTCGTTGAGCTCTTTTATTTTAATTATAGATTTCGTTTAATATTTTTTTTTCTTCATATAATTGCGTGTCATCTATTGAGTAGTATTGGTGCTAATACTGGTGTTAATGGTGATGTAGATTATCTCAGGAAAATCATTGTCCAGGGAAGGTCGTCCAAGTCGACCAAGGTTGGCGATATCATGACTGAAGAGGTAAACATATTTATTTTCGTTCGTTTCCATTTAGGCAAGGTTGCCGGAGTTAGCTTAGTTTTATGCATTGGTATTTGAATCTTGAAAAAATGAGGATGACTAAGAAACAAAATTGTTCTTCTAACTAATCAGAAATCCAAATCCCCGAGTCTATTCAAAACTGTTGGCTTAAGAAGTCGCGTTTAGGAAAACCGGGAGTATCCAAAATCCTGAACTTGTCCTAATAAATGTTATTGTTTAGAAATTAGCAATGTAGTAGATGTTGTTTAGAAATTATTATGGAACTTACATTGTAAAATATTTCTAGACAGTCATTTTCAGTTGTAGAATCAAACGATTACGGTCGAATGAAAGAGTACAAATGGATAGTAAAGCAGTATAAATAGAAAGTTGGATTCATTTGTAACAAGATTAATTGTATCAAGATGACATTTCAAAAGGTCAAAAATATGTAAATACGATAATAACAAACAACAAGTTGATTTGAACCTGATTGACTCCGAAGATGAGATAATCGGATCCCATTCAAAAAATGACACGTGGATATAGCAAGGAAAAAAGTGGAGGTTAATTAGACGTGAAGGTTAATTAGACCTATTCGATAGGTTGTTTAAATATACAAAACTCCTTTAACCACTCTAGTTAAGCTTTTGGATTGCCTTGGCCAATAATATTTTTTTTTTTCTTTCTTTTTCCATTAAATAATCATATGAGCATCACAACCTGCAAAACTCAGCATTAAAAAAAAAAGAAAGAAATAATTTGATTGCCTATATGCTCTTCTTTTGTTTGTTTTTTCTATCCTTGCCTAAATCTATTAATGCTGAAATTAAAGCATGGTTCATAATGAATGAGGTTCTGAACTGGTACAATAATCAATAATGTTCTTATTGCAGAACAAACTTATCACAGTAACACCGGAGACTAAAGTTTTGAAGGCAATGCAACTCATGACAGGTACCTCCTAATTTCCCACTTTTCATTATCAATAACAACATTGCAAAGTTCTATTTCTCAAATCGAACTTCATAAAGTTAATTCTACTTAAAAATAAACTTTTGATCGATTATTGAAATGTCAGATAATCGCATTAGGCATATTCCGGTGATTAACGATAGCGGAATGATCGGTATGGTGTCCATCGGAGATGTGGTTCGTGCAGTGGTGAGCGAGCACCGTGAGGAATTGAACCGCTTAAATGCCTTCATACAAGGAGGTTACTAGATGATGACGATAAAATGAACGGCTGAGATTTCACCTCGGAGTTTGTATATATTTTGGTTTTTATGCAAACTTCTAGAAGATCTTTTGAGATATTATGTTCCGTTCAGATTTAATAATACCCAGAAACTGCCTTTGTGCTTTTGCTCGTCTCTTTATTTGTGACTCCAAACAGAGCTCTTTCTCTACAAGTGTTGGACTTGTGAATGGTTGGACTTGTAAATGGTTTTGTTTTTATTGTTCTAGTTCATATGTTTTTTTTTTTCTGCTGCCGATTCTTTTTCTTGCTTAACAATTTATATAATGGGATCAGTGCTATGTGATTTTAACAAATTTGGGATACATGCAAACATATATGAAACAAACAATTATCTAAGATGTAAGTGGCGCTTGCATCTAGGGGTTTAAATGAATCGAATCAAGCTGGATGTATATTTGTTCAAATTTGTTAAAAATCTATCCATCTAAATTTGTGTTTGAATTTGATTTGATAAGCAATTAAGTCAAGGTTGAATAGGTTTTAGTTGAGCCGACAACGAATGAAGTTCGAGTAGTTTGAGTTTGTATGCATTTACTAGTTTGACTAGTTTGAGTTTGTATGCATATTTAAATATTTTATCACTTCTTTCAATCGAACTTAAAACAATCAAATGAAAATATGTGTTCAAACTTTAAATAAAATGATCCAGTATCACGTATCGAGTAATTTAGTTTGGTTTTTAAGTCGTATTTGCATTAACATTGCAAAATATGAGATTTGTATTTGTAAATAAATATTATTTGAAATGATTAAAAAAGTTGGAGTTGAAGGCGAGCTCGCAGCATATTCACAAGTTATAAGTATTAACTATCGGTGTACATCGGACGTATTGAAATGAAATTAGGACGAAAGTGAAATACAAATTCCAATTGCATTCCAGAAAATAGAAAAAATAAAAAACCGAAATTTTGTGAATTGAAATGAAAAAAATAGTTCAAAATTGAAAAATTTTGGATCAAAATCGACGGATTTCATAAAGTTTCAATTATGTGGCACCTAAAATATAAAATGCATAATAATAATGATACTACTTTCGGAAAAAATCGGAATTATCAAAATTATTTTCAAAAATTATAATCCGATCAGAAATCGAAATCTCATATATTTTTCAATTCCTATCCAAAAAATTCGGAATTCCATATGAATAATAATAATATTGTTCCAAAACTCACAAATTTCGGATTCAAATATAAGCTATCAACCCCACACCGCCGCCCTAATTTGTAAATAAAGCCCTAAATTAGAAAGAAAGGGGCCCCTTTTGAATATCTGAAATTTGTCGGAACGCCCGATCAACACCTGTCTCCGAGGTTTTATTTGATGATCACTTGAAACCTCTTCTTCTTCTTCTTCGCGATGCTTTTTTCAATTCATTTCTTCTGAAAACTCTTAATTTGACTTCTCACCCACCTTCGATTTTCTCCAAATTTAATTTTTAAAATTGCGTAGCTAATAGCAACTCATCATCGACTTGTTTTTCAATCAACCCAATTAGGTAAATTATCTGAACCAACAGCTCAAATTTCATGTAAAGATAGCATCTTTTCTCCGTTACAATTACGGTGTGATTGATCTCCGTTATTCATTATCGAATTGGGGTAAAGACAAAGAAAACCCCGTTTGGTAATTTTCCTGAACCACTCCACTGATTTTTGATCAGTTGGTTAATTTTTCATAATTCGACATGAAAATAAAGCTTATTCGAGCTTGAAAAGTAAGGCGATAATGGCATTGGATATGGGGGGTGGTGGTGGTGATGAAGCGGAGCGGATTTCACCGGAGATGTTAAAGAACACGCCGTCGAATATACGAAAATTGGCCGATGAGATCGAGCAGTTTGAGGGCAGACAGAAGTACCTTGCCCGAACGAGGAGCCCCTCGGATGGTGGCGATGTTCGGTGGTACTTCTGCAAGGTTCCTTTGTCAGTAAATGGTTAGTGCCGAATAATTTCAAAATTATGTTATGTTTTTAATTTTCATAAGGTTTCGTGATATGATTGGAGAAAGTTGAATAGTGCTGATTTGTGGCTATCGATTATACGGTTGGAACTAGAACTAGAACTAGAACGATTAATCGGCATTTGTTGTTTTGGTTGGTTTCTTCTGTAATGGGAATGACAAAATGTGAAATAGTTGAACTGCTTGTGCTTTGATTCTTGACCGTGTTAATTGATTTAAATCGATTATATGTATGTGCTTATTGTGATCCTTCGTTCTTTTGTGTCATCCTAATGTATTGTTTAGCGACAAGCTCTCTGATTTCAGAGATGTGTGTGGTTTTCCTTTTACTCTAGTGAAAGATGAGTACATGCAAAAATGTATGATATATTATTTGAGGGAAGACGAACTATTAATCGAATAGAGGAACAAATGAAAATGAACAGCCAAGTAAAGAAGACGGAATCACGGTCAAATGTGCAATTAAGTCTACAACTTGAAAAACGAAAGTGAAGGGGAAATCAAGAAACATTAACTCTCTTAAGTTCAAAAATCCAAAAGTGTCTGAGATAGTTCAGCATATACTATTGAATTGGTGCAAGGGAATCATATGATTCAGTGTCCGGTGTATCACATGGTCTTTATCTCCAATCTCAAGGTGAAAACAGTTCGGTTCCACTTCTGAAGCAGGTCAAGTCGTGTATTTGAAAAGTAAAGGCAATTTTATGTGTTTTTCAATTCGAGTACTCGACAAACACGTTGTTCATCATACTGATGATTTTTTTTCTTTATAAGTAGTTCTAGAGCAAAGTCCACGAGACTATTATAAGTAAACGGGCTTTCTATTGCAACACAAATTTTTTGCCTTATGTATTTTGTTGAAAAAACTGATCATATAAAATTGCTGACCTGAGTGATAACTTTCGTTTGTGAAATTGATCGATGTTGTCAAAATTTGTTTTTGGCAGAGCTAGCAGCATCGGTGCCCAAGACAGAAATAGTTGGCAAAGGTGATTATTTTCGATTCGGTATGAGGGATTCTCTGGCAATTGAGGCATCTTTCTTGCAGGTCGTGGAATTTTCCCTTTCCCGCATTTGTTTATCTTCTTAATTTCTGTTTTGTTTGATCGTCTCACTTTGGGTAAATCGAGGGTTACTCTTTATCTACAAAGTATTGCGCTGAGACATATCTGCTATATATATTCACAGAGAGAGGATGAGTTGCTCTCTAGTTGGTGGAAAGAGTACGCAGAGTGCAGTGACGGTCCTAAAGGGCAGCCTAGTATTACTTCCAGGTCGAGCGAGCAATTCTCTTCAGTGGGTCCCGAATCCTACGAGCTATTCACTACTGAAGAAGAGAGAGTTGGTGTACCTGTAAAGGGTGGGTTGTACGAGGTAGTCTTTTCGACTCTAGTCCTCTTATAAACATACGGTTTCTTTGTTAAGTGATAATTTCTCGAGGAACATTCGATTTTTAGCAATGTTTGAGAGATAATGGACTAATGCGCACAATCTTGATTTTAGTCCAATAATATAAAAAATAATAAAACCAAGTCTATTTCTCAGACTTGATATTTTATACCGATTTTTTATTTATTTATTTTTGATTACGGAAATATTGATAATGAAAACTTTCTAGATGTCGATGCCAGACATTATCTTGTTTCTAAATTTTTCAATATTGTCGTCGTGTAGGTAGATTTGGTGAACAGACATTGTTTTCCCGTTTACTGGAACGGAGAGAATCGACGTGTGTTACGAGGTCATTGGTTTGCTCGTAAAGGTGGTCTCGATTGGCTTCCACTGCGTGAGGATGTTTCCGAGCAGTTGGAGTATGCCTACCGAAGTCAGGTTCTCTTTGAATTCTTACTTGTCGTTTTAGTTGGTTTTGTAGAGAAAAATGTATCTTGATCGAACGCTTCTCCGTGTTTTCTCAGCATCATTTGCAATAAAGAGAACTTAAATACTTTTCATTATGCGAGTCTTCGTTTATGTTTCCTCTTTCAGAAGCCAATTTAATAGGCTTTTCATCAATTATTAGCCGACTATTACGACAGTTTTCTTTCTCATTCGGGTTTGGGGATCTCTTGCTTTCAGGTTTGGCATCGACGGACCTTTCAACCGTCAGGTCTCTTTGCCGCTCGAGTTGATTTACAAGGCTCAATCTCAGTATGGCCTCCGTTTTTTTTTAAATTTATTTATTTATTATCATATATATATATATATATATATATATATATATATATATTTTTTTTTTTTTTTTATTAATTTGTTTTATTTCCTAGTTGCAGGGATTGCATGCCCTTTTCACAGGGGAAGACGATACGTGGGAAGCTTGGCTAAGTGTTGATGCTTCCGGGGTTTATAGTGTTATATCCCTTCGAAGGAATGGCATTAAATTAAGGCGCGGTTACGCTTCTTCTCAGTCGCAGAAACCAACACAGGTATTTCTTTTCACATATAACTCCCATTTAATTACCCTAAGTAGCACACCCATTTTCTCCGTATTTGTGTTATAGGGTTATCGCCCACATCTTTAGAGTTTTGCTTCTGAAATTAAAAAACCGTAAAAACTAATTTGAAAAAGAATATCTATTTCTCGTAGCAAGATAATATCTAAGTGAAGCGGTGGTTTGTTTCACAGCCGATACGTAAAAAAGTTTTACGAATTCATATGGTAACATTTTGATTGTTGTCATAGCCAAATAAGGCGAGGCCACATGCATTATCTTCTTATTTATTTTCAGGATGAACAACGGCAGCAGAAGGAGGAGGAGATGGATGATTACTGTTCGCAGGTACGCTAAGTAATATTTTTCGTCTGGTCTAAAATACAAAACAACGAAACCATTATCTTTTCGTTTATGGCGGTGTTACCGTAATTCTTCTCACGATTGTTTCTGAATAATAAAGATTTCATAATTTTAATACTTTAAAATGGTTTTTTTTTAAAACTTAATTTCGGAATCGCGTCGGCTTAAAATTGATGTTTTGCTTATTGATTTCATAAATATATGTCTGTGTTGAAACAAGTGTAGGTCCCAGTTCGGCATTTAGTATTCATGGTTCATGGGATTGGTCAAAGGTTGGAGAAGTCTAATTTGGTCGATGATGTTGGAACTTTTCGCCATGTCACCGCAACCGTTGCAGAAAGGCACCTCACTTCACACCAACTTGGCACCCAAAGAGTCCTTTACATTCCTTGCCAGGTATAATTTATTTATTTATTGAGTATCTTTTATGTAAATTCTTATGTGAATTTAATACCCTCGTGGTTACTTTCATTGCCTTTGTCAGTGGAGGAAGGGATTGACACTCAGCGGCGAAGCTGCAGTGGAAAAAATCACACTAGATGGTGTGCGAGGGCTGCGTACGATGTTGAGTGCAACAGTACACGATGTCTTATACTATATGAGCCCTATCCATTGTCAGGACATCATTGATTCGGTAAACCCCTATCTTATTGCTTTCTTCTTCTTTTTTTTCGTTCAAATAAATTATGGATGCCTCATAGTGATTAATCTGATATTAGTTTAAGCACTCAAATGCGTTCGATTTGCGTACAACTATAATCATAATATATAAGAAGCTCATTGATCAAGAAAAGGAAGTTATGATTTCATTGGTATACACTATACATGAATAGGAATATAATAAATTGTTATCATGTACCTTTGTTTTTTTTAGCAAAGTGATATCAAATAACGTAACGAATGCAATAGATATCACCTATTTCCTTGAAATCTTTCACTAAGTTTTAAGGGGTCGAGCTCACTTGTCTTGATAATTTGTGTTTCATGTTATATATCAAATAAATGTATCATATTTTCGATATTTCTTACAATATGCAAAACGTTTTGCATCAATACTTTGATGTATTTTAAATGTGGTGTTATTTTAATAGATTTAATAAACGTTTGTAAAAAAATATATTTAATATAATAAGAAGAGACCGAAGTGTCACGGTATTTGAGCAAAAAATAAAAAAGGTTTACACTGGACCAAGAAACTCAGCCAAAAAAATCAACTCATAAATTCATAGCCCAAGGGGATAATTAGTAGAAGGGAACTTTCTAGAAAAATGTAGAAATAGTCACTAATGTGTAGAAATTCCTAAAACCCCTAAAAATCACTCTATTCTACTTGCTCAAAACTGTAGGATAAAATCAACACCCACCATTATTTTGGGAGTGAAGTAGGATAAATAGGAGCCCATACATTCTAAGGCAACTACAAATCCGTGGCCGACAGCCACATTTATAACAACATTGAGTGCTAAAATTAAGCATTGAATTCTGGTAGTCGATCCTTAATTAAAAAAATGTGTGATTGTTCTAGAATAAATAATATGGCAGAGCTAGGCCAATATAATATGATGTTTGTCCAGTGTTGGATGCAGCCGGAAAAATGAATTCTGGAAAGGGTACATGTCATTTTATCCAAAGAATAGTCAACAATAATCTTTATACAATTAAGAGAAATATAAATATTAGAAAATTCTCGGTTGGAACAAGATAATACAGTTCGATACCAGAGGGTACGGAACTATATTTCCAAATTAGCTATACCGCCGTAAGAATTTGCAAATTAACTATCCAGTCGTAAGAATCTCAATTGTGAAGCACAAGAGGAAACATACAGTATTGAAAACATCCACTATTGAAAGTACCATACATGGAGACTATGGTATATTCAAAGAAATCGTAACAGAAAATGTAAATTTTTTATTAATGCTAAGTATGTTAATTTTGTATCATAATCATATGAATTACGAAGTCTTCTAGTACGTGAACATCTAGAATATTCCATAAATGATGGCCGAAAAATCTTAAAAATGGACAAACGAAAATTCCAACAATGTAGAGCTCTTTATGTAACTTTGGTCGCCGTCGTCGCCGACCAACTATTTTATAACATGAAGATGTTCACGGAAAGTAAGGAAGTTGATCAAACATAAAGAAGATATCAGGATCCCTTGTGGGAACAACAAAAAAAAATCTTTCAAAATATCGTATAATCTTTTGTCCGAAGAATGTTCATTCGGAGTGTGTTTTTGTTGGAATTACTAATATGTCATTATCCTTTTAGGGCGGTATTTTAAATACAAACATGTCTAAATTTAATGTTTTCTTTATGAATCTTGACTAAGAATGGAGTATATTGAACTTGACTAAGAATGGAATATATTGAACTCTTTTTTAGGGACGAATGGATCAGATGGTAGAAAGAAGTAATCAATAAAAAACGAGACCTTGCAGATATGAAACTTAATTGATTTAACCTTTTCATGATATAATGCATACAATTTTAATTTGATCTGAAGGTTTAGTCTAGAGGGCCCAAACCGGCAAAAAAAAAAAAAAAGAAAAAAACTTCTCGTGGATGAGTTATGTTGTCATGAACATATTGATTGTGATTTGTGTTAATGGATACAGTAAATTCTATATGATTTAAAGATTCTTCGAATAATAACTGTATGTTTAATTCTTGATCTGATTTTTCTTCCGGCACAAATTTTATTGATGTTAGTTGATTCGTATTAATTAAACTTGCAAAATCATTAACCACAAGCCACTAGTCTTGTATGTTTCTCTTACCATATATATATATATATATATATATATATATATATATATATATATATATATTTGTTTGTTCCTTGTTCTCACATCTTAATTTCATTCTCACCAGTCGTTTATTTTCAGATTGATCTGCTAAAAGCTAGAATCAAAGAATTTGAAGTTGAATACGCTGACAAAGGTACCGTTTGTGTGAATTTCAAGATGGTCTTACATAGTCGTTGAATTTTGAAATATTGAAGTTTTATTAAGTTGAGTGTCGTCATGTATTTGATGTCTTACTATTATTAGTGAATGCGAGGAAGAGTTCACCGATAGTAAATCAATCTGATCCAGAGAGTGTTCAACTTGGGACGAGAGATTCATTGAAGAATTATACCCCACAAATAAGATATACAAAATTAGAATTCAAGGTAATTTTCTTTCGTTTCGTCCACGCGCTAATGTTTATTAACTGTATGCTTCAGTACTTGCCCTCTACTTAAATATCCCGATGTCGTTTAATGTCAGGTTGACACATTCTTTGCTGTGGGGTCTCCGCTTGGAGTATTTCTCTCCCTTCGCAATGTTCGTCTTGGAATTGGTAATGGCTCGAGCTTTGATACATTCTTTTATTTTTTTACTTTTCGTTTTTCCTTCTTCGGAAGTTTGTTGGGTATCCTTCAGAATATTACTTCCCAACTTGGACGAACGTTTCTTTTTAATATTATATGCTTCTTATCCGGTTCTTATAACAATCATAGCCGCCTCTGCTTTTCGCTGTTGATGAAATAAAACGCCTTGCCTTGTCTGCATGTCGGATTTATCTTGCTCGATTCGACTTTTGAATTTGGATGGATTCTTCACTTAAAATATTTCTGCTGTCTTGTTTGTTAGGCAAAGGGAAAGAATATTGGGAAGAGGATAATATAAATGAAGAAATGCCAGCGTGTCGACAGATGTTTAACATATTTCATCCTTTTGATCCTGTGGCATATAGGTTTGTTTTTATACTTTTAAGCGTAAATTACGGCCACTCTCATGAGGTAAGGTCAAATTACGAAAAAATCTCTCCTGTTTGAGTAATTACAACCACCCCTCAACTATGAATCTTCTTACACGTGTCAAATTCAACATAATCTTTTACATTCAGTGGAATGTTCTCTAGTTTGGTACTCGTTTTGTGCAAAAATGTAGTTTCTGATGCACCTCAATCTCAATCTGATATAACAAGCCAAGAGACACATCTTATGATCATCTTGTTTCAAAATTTGGAGCTCGAATGGAGTAAAACGGGTACAAACAAGATAATATTCCATGTAATCTAGAAAATTTCATTAAATTTGACACCGCAAGGGTGGACGTGTAAGAAATTTCATAGTTGAGGGGTGGTTGTAATTACCCAAACAAAGGGGTTTTTTCGTAAATTGACCTTACCTCAAGGGCGGCCGTAATTTACCCTACTTTTAATGATAATTGTTTGAACTTTGAAGTTCTTTTTTTTTTTTTTTTTTTTTTTCTCTTCCCCCACAGAATAGAACCCCTTGTATGTAAAGAATATATGCACATGCGTCCTGTTATTATTCCTTACCACCGAGGTGGGAAACGACTCTACGTTGGGTTTCAGGTAATTATATTAAAAATATTAACGTTGTGCTTTGTGCTTCATCCTCTTACCCTATGTGCTCGACTTTGTTGTACAGGAATTTAGAGAAGGATTTGCTTCACGTTCTCAAGCTTTTGTCGATCACTTGAGCTCAGTAAAGGTTGGTATAATTCGTTTTTGTTACCTTAAGTTCGAAGAATTCTCAGTTTGTTGTATTTTGACAAGTTACTTTAATTTACGGCATTTTTAAAAGAATTAATCGGTTAGCGGATTCAGTCAATTGATGAATTTACGAGTCTTACTGTGAGCCCTTTGAATATAGGTTAAAGTGCTCACAATTTGCGAATCGAGATCCAACGATGAACAAGCTGGTAAACATTCTCTCTTCATTTTATTTACTTCTTCGAAAACTATTCCATGTTGGGGCTATTGTTATATTACACGACATAAATGAAAAGCTTTTCCGCAACAAGAACAATATATTTAATTTTTCCAAAATATTCGCCTCATCTCTTTACAGAAGAATCCGGAAACACCCAAGAAAGAACTGAGAGATCATATGGTTCAGTTATGATAGAGAGATTAACAGGAACCGAAAATGGTCGAATCGATCATGTACTACAAGTACGTATTCTTTCCGCTGTAGCCTCGTAAATAATAACGAAAACCCCCCTATGAGACATTTTTTAGCACACCCCCTAAATGGTGAGTTGTAGGGGGTATAGTTTGCATAAAAAATGCATCGTAGGGGTGTTTCTGCTAATATTTTCAACACAAGGAGTTATTTGGCAATTCGACATAATACAGGGACGCTGAGTGCAATAAACCCTTATTTATCTCTTGACGTTTTTGCCATTGCAGGATAAAACTTTTAGACATCCGTACTTATCAGCTATCGGTTCACATACGTAAGTTCATGATTTTGAACGTTGTTTCTTCGGATGTTGTAATAACAACAAAATGATTTTCTTTTTGACGATTTTATCCCTCTGCACAGAAATTACTGGAGAGATTCCGATACAGCTCTTTTCATACTGAAGCACTTGTATAGGGATATACCAGACGAACCTATCTCTTGCAATGACCAACAATTAAACGACAGCTCAAATGATGATAAAAGCTTGACGACAAAATGGTCCGATCCTAGAGAAATTGCCGACGAAGAACTTCCTTTGACTTTTGCTGATAGTGTCTCTATCAGGAATTTCTCACAAAGAGCCAAGAAAACGATGAAGAGCTGATAACGAAGACATGAGGGGGTAAAAACGACTTTTTGAACTCCGAAGTGGCTGAAGTTGTGAATTAATTGCACAACCACCACAAAAATTGGCAAAGTGCAGCATGTGGAGAAAGAAACTGTATACAGGGAAAGATTAACTTAGTGTATATATAGTTGTATATAGGAAGTATAGACATGAATTCATGTTAGGCATTGTCCTGTGATTTATGGGGCTTTTATATGTGTGTGTGTGTGTGTGTATATATATATATATTTTTTTTTTTTTTTCCTATGTAAAAGATATATATTTGATTGAACTTTTAGAGCCTTTATATATAGATAGGGCAAATTACGGCGACCCCTTGAGGTATGGTCAAGTTATGAAAAAATCCCTCTTGTTTAGGTAATTGCACAGTCAATCCCCTCCTTTTAAATATTTTTAGGGTTAATAGTATTTCGCCACCTGAACTTTAAACATTTTTGCACTTTGCCATCTTAACTAATAAAAGTTGTAAATGCGCACCCAAACTCAGTTTTTTGACGCACATAACCACCTAAGGGGAATATTCCGGCGAATCTTCTAATATTCCATCGCACGCGCGATGCACATGCGAAAGTACAAGTACTTTTTCGTCTGTTTACCTGAAAATATCATAAGGAGGTGAAATTGAAAGTTCCAGGGACTCAATTGAACTTAATTTAAAACTTTCACAAATTCGAAATTAATTGAAGCATTGTGGCTCCATCTTCCATGGGATCAAAACACTCACCGTCCGGGCCCGGTGAACAAAGGGGCGCTGCCGTTGGAGAATTTCGGCGGGAACGGGGGGGCGTTGGAGAATTCCTCAAACGCCTTATTGTTGATGAGCAGAAGTGCCAACAAAAAGACAACATATGAGAATTACTGGAGCACCGTGTCACGGACTTGTTCCCTTAACAAAGAACCGTGCGGCCTTAGCTCCTTCTCGCCCCTCGCGATAGCGAAGTCAGTCTCTCCCGAATTGTGTTGTGAATGCTTAAGTGATGGAAACGAAGAAAGAAAGTAGAAGACAAGAGAGTTGGTAGAAGAGTACTTTATTGTTGGATTTCTTGAATGATTACAAATGAGGATCCTACCTCTATTTATACAAGTCCACCTCCTCAATGGACGGTGGAGATCGATATGATCTAATGGTTGGGAGTGAAACAATCCCTTAAATGTCTCTACCTACCACCACCTACCTCTACCTACGAAAGAATCCCTACCTACCACTATACAATTGGGCCAACTTGGGCCTAACCCTATTTGGGCTACATCTTGGACTCTTTAACCTCCCCAACCCAAGGGAAATCGGCAAGGGGTTGTGCAAAACTCGCGGGCCGTGACATCCTTCCCCGCCTAATCCGGCGACGTCCTCGTTGCCTCGAACAAGGGGAGACGATCTTGAAATTGCCACAAGTCTCCTTCGTCTCCCACGTTGCCTCGGACTCGGGTAATCCCTTCCATTTGGTGAGGTATTGAATACTCGGTGGAACTCCCCTAGGTCGCTTCAATTGTCGGCCGAGCACTTCCTCGATCTCCTTATCGTATGACTTAGTCATGATGGGTGGTGCTCGGTGCGACCCTCCTCGGCTCGGGTCTTCCTTGTCTTGTTGGCACACAAGGCAAGTCTTCACATATGCGTCGTCACTGTCCCGCATGTGAGGCCAAAAGTAGGCCGTCTTGAGCAACGCCATTGTCCGCCTTTGGCCCGGACGCTCCGCCCACTTGGTGTCGTGGCATTCCCTTATGAGGTCATTCCTCAAGTTGCCCCACTTCGGAACGAAGAGTCGTTGTCCCTTCGTGTAGAGTAGGCCGTCCTCTACCCAAAATTGCCTCGTCTTGCCCTCCTTGACGAGTCGAATTAGCTCATTGGCCATTGGATCATGTTCGAGCCCTCCCCGGATCATGTCGGCCAAGTTCCCCCTTGTCGAGCTAATGGCTGCGAGTTCGGCTTTTCTACTCAAAGCATCGGCTACAACGTTTGCCTTCGATGGTCGGGTCTTCCCCGTCTCGACCAACTCATTAAGTTGCTTCCGGAGTTCCTCGGGCTCCGGCGGTGACATGCGATAGGGAGCCATGGCGGGTGGCTTGGCTCCCGGCTCCAACTCGATGGCATGATCCACCTCCCTCCTAGGTGGAAGTTTGTTGGATAAATTTGGTGGCATCACGTCTTGGTTGGACTCCAAGACGGTTTGGATGATCGGTGATACGTCCTCCTCTTTGTTGACGGGCGGGTTGTCCTCTTTTAAAGCGGCTAAGAATGTTGGCTCGCCCCGTCGAACTCCCTTGGCAACTTGCATGGCCGACAGTTGCCTTGGTTGTGTGCTTCCTTCCTTAGTGGTGCCGTTGATGGCCGGCACCATGCAAGGTGTCCCCTTCTTTAAAATGCAAACCGAATTGAAACAAGGCATCGGGATAGCCATTACCGTGCGGAAGAAGTCCATTAGCACCACCTTGAAGTCATCCATCGGTGCTACCGAAAAATCCGCTTGGCCCTTCCAAGTGCCTAAGTGTAGCTCCGCGTCTCGTGCTACACCGTTGACCGGTTGTACCTTAGCGTTAACGGCCTTGAGCCAACCGTCTCGTCTGGTCCACCGTAGGCCAACCCTCTTGGCCTCGTCCTCGGTGATAAAGTTGTGGGTTGCTCCCGTGTCCACCATCACCTTTGCTGGGGTATCGTTGATGCGGGCCTCCACGTACATCAGCCCCTTGCTTGATGTTGCCGGCATCGGATTAGCCTTTAACGAGTTCAGAAGTTGGAGCGATCCCATGTTGCCTAGCTCCTCGTTTGTGTCTTGCTCGGCCTCTTGTTGTAAGAGTGCCGACAATGATCCCATCTTTGGACATTGACTCATCGCGTGCGGCCCCTTGCACACGAAACATCCTCCCTTAGGCACAAACGACCTCTTCTTCTCTTCAAGTTGTTGGTGTGAGGATGGTTTGTCTCCTCCCCTCGAGGTTGACGGTCGCCGTGGGTCTCGGTTATCTCGATGGTCCCTACCTTGATCATCCCGTCTCTCTCCTCCGCCTTTAGTCGGGTTCCACTTATCTTTTCGCAACGGCTCTCTCGGTTGATACTCGGTTAAAGACTCGGCGGCGGCAATAGCTTCATCGACGGATTTGATGTCTCGTCGGTGGAGTTCTTGCTTGGCCCAGACTTGTAACCCATCGGTGAAGTGGAAAAGAAGGTCCTCCTCGGAGAGGTTGGGAATTTGAAGGGTGAGGGCGGTGAACTCCTTCACGTACTCGCGGATTGAACTTCGTTGCTTGAGTTCCCTCAACTTCCTTCGAGCCTCATAGACGACATTCTCCGGGTAGAAGTGTCGCTTGAGTTCCCTCTTGAACTCTTCCCAAGTATCGATTCGGCAAATGCCTTTCTCGATATCGGTGTGCTTTCTACGCCACCACAACATTGCCGTATCGGAAAGATAAAGGGAAGAAGTTCTTACATTGATCGTCTCGTCGACTAGACCGATACCCTCGAAGTATTGCTCCATCCTCCATAGGAAGTTCTCAACTTCCTTGGCGTCCCTTACGCCGTTGAATCCCGTTGGCTTCGGGCAGTCCACCCTTGGACTCGAAGTAGCACCAACGCTACCGTTAGCGGCGGCCTTTTTGCACAAGGCCAAGTCGTCGCGCATCCCCTCGATGCTCTCTTGGAGGGATTGGATGATGGCCTCAAATCGATCCAACCGTTCCTCCCGCAACGTCTCATTGTCCCTAAACAAGTCGAGTTGCTCGGCGACGTGATTCTCCAACACCTCCGTATCGTGCTCGAGCTTCTCGAATCGTTCGCTAAGTTCCGCTATGGCGACGTTATTCTCGAGCCTCTCGAGTCTTTCGCCATGATCCGTTAGCACGGCCTCATTACCGGTACTCTCCCCACGAGCCTTGTTGTGGTCTCTCTTCTTCTTGTTGTTTACGTGGGCCTCCCTGCCACGTCCCTCGGTTATGTACGAAATGTCTTCAACGTTCGCCATCGTTGAGAATTCGATCAACACAAAGCCCTTAGCCGGGCTCTGATACCACTTGTCACGGACTTGTTCCCTTAACAAAGAACCGTGCGGCCTTAGCTCATTCTCGCCCCTCGCGATAGCTAAGTCAGCCTCTCCCGAATTGTGTTGTGAATGCTTAAGTGATGGAAACGAAGAAAAAAAGTAGAAGACAAGAGAGTTGGTAGAAGAGTATTTTATTGTTGGATTTCTTGAATGATTACAAATGAGGACCCTACCTCTATTTATACAAGTCCACCTCCTCAATGGATGGTGGAGATCGATATGATCTAATGGTTGGGAGTGAAACAATCCCTTAAATGTCTCTACCTACCACCACCTACCTCTACCTACGAAAGAATCCCTACCTACCACTATACAATTGGGCCAACTTGGGCCTAACCCTATTTGGGCTACATCTTGGACTCTTTAACCTCACCAACCCAAGGGAAATCGGCAAGGGGTTGGGTCAAAACTCGCGGGCCGTGACAAGCGGGTCACTTCCCAATTCAAGTATCCACGCACACGCCCACTTCAATTCCACCACTTCCTTCAAATTTGTCGCTCTCTGAGGGTTTAATCTTAGATTTGGGCCCCGACAATTCTTGGGAAAACGTCAAAAAGGTACATGCGGTACCACAGGCTATCAGGCGAGAATCCGAAATTCGATTCAATCGTTTCTGGAGTTGGGTTCTTCGTCTCTGTCATCCATGACGAATTTCAGCAGATTGATGTCGTTGTTCTTCTTCATCTTTTTATTGGAGTTTTTTTGCACCATTTTGAAACAGGCGTGCGGCGGTGGGTGTTTTGATCCCATGGAAGATGAAGCTACAAAGCTTCAATTAATTTCGAATTTGTGAAAGTTTCAAATTAAGTTCAATTGAGTCCCTAGACTTTTAGTTTCACCCCCTTATGATATTTCAGGTAAAAAGACAAAAAAACCCTTGTACTTTCACATGTGCATCGCGCGTGCGTTGAAAAATGAAAAAGATTCACTGGAATATTCCCCTTAGGTGGTTATGTGCGTCAAAAAATTGAGTTTGGGTGTGCGCTTGCAACTTTTTTTAGTTAAGGTTGCAAAGTGCAAAAACGGGCAAAGTCCGGGTGGTGAAATGCTATTAACCCATATTTTTACATAAAATTTATGTAATTCGGTTATTTAACAAACATAATTATATATTTAGTTGGTATAAAATGTTGGCGTACTGAAATTTCAGTTCGGTTTTACCGAATTTATCATCCCTAAATTTACCCCCATAGAGGTCTTTTCGTAA